AGGTCGAGCTCCCTCTCGATTGAGAGCTGGAAGTTTGCTCCCTCAGCTACAGATTTACTGCTAGCCACTCCAGCATTATAGCCTTAGATCGAGTTGATGACTTCTCAAACATAACGTTTTGGGATGCACCATTTCCATCTATGGGCTGCTCTTTCAGAGTGCCACGAGAACCCCTTAGAACGGTATTTTCTAAATCCATGTTATGGTAAGTGTGCACGTGAAGTCTTTGTAGACTTTCTAAAATCCACACTGTGGTAAGTTCGCACGCTAGTACTCTGCGTTCTTTTCTAAAATCCTGTATGGTAAGAGCTGTATGGCAGCAGCCTCGTGCTCTTTCTGAGTGGTTTAAAACCCCGGTTCCGCCTTGGGTACCACTCCACCTATGTATCCTCTGGATACCTACTTTAACAGGGTGTTGCTACTAGGGGTCTGTTGAGACACTTCCTTTAGCATATGCGGAGCATGCGCTAGCCCCTGTGTGACAGGCCAAGACTTAGTATGATTCTAGGCTCTTGGTCGTATTCCCTTAAAGGAATCTATTCCTGATTCCAAGCCTTAAGCTCTACCCCGGGCCCAGGAGTTCTGGCCCTAACAGGTAAGTTTTTTGGGGTATGTAACCTAGGCCTTTAGCTGTAGGGAATAATGTCACTGACAGCCGCCTAACGTCCCAGGGGCAACTCCCATGGCAATATGGTAGAGTTGGTACTAAGTGCTCGCCATGGTTTCTGGCATGCACTCCCCTCAGCATGGTGGTGTGGGTATACCGTTCCCCATAGCAAGCACTAGAGGACGCAGTTCGAAGTTCCCATGAAAGAGAACATCTCAGGTTACTTATGTAACCATGGTTCCCTGAGTAGGGAATGAAACACTGCGTCTTCTAGGTTTCTTGCCATGCTTCGGACACAAGCTTCAGACGAAGAAGTGGATGATGTGTTCTCCCAGTGCCTATTTATACTATAGTCGTACCGGTAGTGAAGTCATGGCTGTCGCCGGCCAACGTGTTGTTGGTGTTTTTTCGATGTATGCTTCAGACACAGGTCACGACGAGGCGTTCCCCATAGTGACCCCTAGAGGACGCAGTGTCTCGTTCCCTACTCAGGGAACCATGGTTACATAAGTAACCTGAGACGTTTTGTCAGATCAAAACATTAAAATGATACTAACAGGATGGAAAGTGAAGACAGATAAGAACATCTAAATGACTGGCCTATTAAAGCAATAACAAAAAAACAAAAAACAAAAAAAATTTAATTTGCGAAAGAAAAATATAAAAGTACACCCATCCTGTAAAACAGGATTCTCACCTGTCCAGAGGGGGGGCGTCTGGAGGCGTGTCAATGATTAGCCTGCAAACAGACTGTATTATGACACTTGCACATAATAAATGATCGTTCAAACAACAGCCATCGAGTCTGATTTGAGCAATCAATAATTAGGTGAGGAACCTGGATGTTGCTCAACAAAACTTTATCTGTTTAGTCCGCAACTTGTTCCTCCGTCACCTTTGACCGCTCGCCGCCTAGATTCGCTAGCCTTTGTTCTGCTGCCCAGTGAAATCCAGAGAGTGCTGAAGCCCTCGGATGTCGTTGTTCTTGCGCGGATTACAGAGAGGCAGATGGACAGTGGGTTGTGGCATTCACAAATCCGCCCTCCCCCGTGCTTTTGTCGGGAATAAGAGTGGATTTATCAAAGGACTCCCTCAAGCCAATATGCCTTCTCATTCTTCATGCACGTTGCAGTCGCAACAACGACTTATTAATCATAAATAGCCTATAGAAATAGGCCTATATATGAAAGCTCCTCATGCCATATCACTAACTGGGACAGATTTTATATTTTAATTTCATTAGAATAAATAGAAACGTTACATTTAACAAGAAATGTGGAAAATCTTTGATATAGGCCTAATCATTATCATTACTGACTAAGTTTGGCCATATTGATCGGGTAGACGAGAATCGGTTCTTCTATTTTACCAGTGTAATCTGATTACCGAACTAAATATTTTATTTACAGTGACTCAATGGTATTTTGTAAGAAATGAATGAATGAATGACATGCATCCACTTTTTTGTATGTTTAATATTGCTATTGGCCTACAATAGGCTAGGCTACTTATGAACACTTTAATTACATGCATGTATTAATTTCTGTATTAATTGCATGTATTTCTGATTTGTTGTAGTTGTTGAAATCTGAAATGATCGATCATTTGACTGATTGCTGAGGGCAATACATGCAATAGCCTAATCTGTCTTTTTCAAAGTATTTCTGCCTCAAAGTACTGAAATAATCATTACTGAAACTAGAATTGTTAAATGGAATTTGAATCGGAATCAGAAACGTTCAATTCCTTACGATTCCTTTGAACTCAAGAGGCTTTACCTGTTAATGTGACGTAGACCACGGGGCGGGGCACGCAGGACTTGACTGAAGCCTCTGTTGCCTGTTAGAGATTATTGAGGCGGCTGGAAAGCGAATTCACGCTTTTGGTTTTCTTTCTTAGGCTGATAGATTTGGCTTTCTGTTGTGTATGTTTTTGAAATCTCACACTGGACATATTCAGATATCATTTACTCGGACAGGAATATCGGATGGTCATACGGGACAATTGAATTTGTTTTCAGCACGGGCTGTACTGGAGGATTTGAACGCCAGGTTACAAGCGCATCTTCTTAAGCTTCTGACAGCGAATGTAGCCTATTACACATTGGATTCAACTTCAGGAAAGTTTAACATTTTCTCGGAAGCAAGCCGATTTAGTTTCTACCTATATTGTGGGATGCGCTCGAATTGTGCTGGAGAATATTTCGAGACTCAAAGAAATACAACATCGTGGACGTTTTGAATTTCTGTTCTGTTGTCAAATACAAGAATATGCTGACTTTAAATTAATTTATAAAAAAATAAGCATCTCTATTTCATATCTTAACTATTTAATCCCCTTAAAATCTGCCAAGCCAAATCTACAACATTTTTTGCTATAATGTCCTGGAGCTGAGACTGGAAATAAAGGACTGTCTCCGAACGTGTAGAAGAGCGGTTCGGGTTGTCGGAACATGAAGTCAGTTACCGGTCTGTTTGTTGTAAGTGTGTTGCTGTGTTCAACGATCTCGTCCTGGAGCGCGACTGTCAGCAGCTATGGAGGTGAGTTTGGTTCAACTGATGAAGGGGGGAAAAAAAAGAATGACATCTTTCAGTGAAATGTTTGAAACACAAAGTAGCATTACTCAAAGAAAATCTGTTTTAAAAAGTCAAATAAGTAACAAAAGTGGGGTTTATTTGACACTTGTGTGTGAACTTTTGCATTTTTCGAAACAATGAAAAGTCTATTAACGTAATAGGCGGGATCAGGTGACAACCTGTGCGCTCACACTTTCTAATCTCCATAGGATTAAAACAAATGACCGCTATAGTTTGGTTCGTGGAAGTTGTCGATTATTTATATTGTTTTTGTTTGGTGTTTTATGTAATCGTAAGCTTTATAAATCTTTAGTGTTTCTACTTTTCCTTCGACGAGTCCGTTTGATAGATAGTAGATAGATAGATAGATAGATAGATAGATAGATAGATACTTCATTGATACCGTGTGCAGCCAGACAATAATAACATTATACAGTATGCAGAAGTGTCACATGTAGCTATATGAGATGAGCATGTGTAGGCTACATTATAAACATACGCAATTTACCCAATGAACACATTATATAGGCTAGCCTATTACATCAAATAATACATATACAAATATGTGGCAAGTAAACGTTTAATAAAATGTTGTAAATGCCTAATTTCAAATTAGAAGTACATAAGTATATAGATTTTTGTGTGTGTGAGACAACATTCCTGGGGGCAGTCTTGTTTCCTCCAAATTTGTTTTTCTGGATTTGTAAATGTGAATGATGTGTTTGCTCTTGTGTTTACCTTATTTCGCTGAGACTCTCTCACTTTCTCAGCAGTGTAGTTCGCTCCTCCTGCAGGTAGTCAGACTTGCACATTTATATGTAGACTACCGTGAAACAGCAGTTGACAGTTTGGGGCAGACTGCATAATGCATACTAGACCGTGGCATGCTGGTGCTGAAATTATGTGAAATGCCACTCCGAAGGAAGGACAGAAGAAGATTTACTTAAAAACACTAGAGCACCTTGATCATCCCTCCTCACTTGTCTACTGTTTAAACACACTGTATTGTGCACTCACTGACACATTTTAAATGACAGTAAACGCTCAGTCACATTGTATTGTGCTAAGCATATTCTGTCCAAAGTTATTTCTGCCATTTGAATGCCATTTAAGTGTTCTATGCATTTCTAAGGGTTTCATACACTTGGAGTTGTGCTGTTGCACTGAATATCCGCACGTCACAACATACTCTGGTCAGGAATGCAGCAAAAGCAGAGTGATGTTATACTAAATATCAGAAATGTCTTTTGACCAATTAAATTAGAGCACTGTTGTATGAAATCATGTATTATACAGTGGGACCTGCATCCACCCTCAATATCACGACTGAGGTGAGACCCTTGAGCAAGGCACCGAACCCCCAACTGCTCCCCGGGTGCCGCAGCAATATGGCTGCCCACTGCTCCGGGTGTGTGTGTGTTCACTGCTGTGTGTGTGCACTTGGATGTAGGGCTGTGCAAAAAAATCGAATGCGATTTTCATGCGCATCTCGTCAGTAAAGCCGCTTCTGTGATTAGTAGTTAATCTCCAGCACGTGCTTTCAGATGGAGCGGCATTTACTACACAGAGCCGTAGTTCACTGACAAGCTACACAAAATCGCGTTCATAATCGGCAATGAATCACCTGCGATTTTGAATTAATTTTCATGGTATAGCAATTTAACTTTGTGTTAAGAATTTGTAATGGGAGGATGTATAGTGCAGTTATTGTGTCCAGCATTTTGCCAAATTCTTGACCTTTTGCTTAGTCCTGCATAAAGACAGTGTAATGTGCGCACATCCAAAAACTTTGGGCAGGTGCTCGATCATATGAAACCCTTCACAGTCAATAGTTTTGCCTGACGAAGACCTTAGGGTCGAAATGTTGTGATTTTAATAAATTCTTGAGAGCAGTAATGGCAGTGTGCTGATTTTTGTTTATTGACTGTGAAGGGTTTCATATGATCGAGCATCTGCCCAAAGTTTTTGGATGTGCGCACATTACACTCTCTTTGTTCACATTATAGTAATGTCTCCCTTTTTTGTGAAGACTCTCAGTATTAAGTTTCTCGTTGATAAGATGGCAACAAGTAACACCTTTGAATTTTCAGAAGAGGACTATGAAAGAATTATCTTAAAATAATCTCTTTTTGAAGATGCATCTACATCAGATTTTGAGAATAAAGATTTGAGATGGACATTTAATAATCTTCTCCTGCATAAACAAACCAAATATTTTCTGTGACACAAGGTACACGGTTTATCTGATCCTATTGTCATGACTCATGAACATCTATTTTGCTGATGTTAATGTTTTATAGCTGTCTGAGAAGGGTCTCTCTTGGGAATTCCTCTGATTTAATTTCATTTTGAAACACTTTAAAGTGCAGTGTTGATAAAAAATTTTTCCAAGGGTATGTTCATGCAAACTTAATATAATAAAAACAGCAAAGCAGCCTAACAGTACACAAGGTCTAATGAAGGTCCTTCCAGGCATTGGAGGGTAAGACCAGCGTGGCAGACAGCTTGGGTCAAATGTCAAAGGTCACGCTGCTTTTGTGAATAGGTTGTCTAGTCTGTTTAGGGATATGGCCTTTACTTAAGCTTTCTTGTCTTTTTCTTACTCTCTTACTCTTTCTTCTCAGTTTATTTAATCCATGTTACAAAATGACTTTGAGCTGATTAATGGTCAGACAGATTACCTAATAACCCAGACCGACAATTTCAGCCTAGAAAGCACAAATCCATAACCTCGTCCCAACTGACTCTCAGACAGGGAGGATAAATCCGTCACTGAGAGAGCCAATATGGCATGCCAGTCTATGTTTGCCGTCTGTTTAATTGACCTGGTGTAGTTTGTAATGATGGTAAAATGGTGTGAAGGCACATTTGATGCTTGCCTGTGTTCAGATAACTTTTTTTGTGTGTGCACTATGGTTTTCTTTATCTCTTCTCAGACACTTGTCCAGATTTTCTAGCTATAAAGCATTTTAGTTTTTAGTCTTTCAGTATATAAAGACATGACTTTATTCGGAATCTCACTATTTGAAATTTGACTTTTCAATATAGATCTTTATCTTACTTCAGATTCATGTTTAGTAGTGTTATAGCGTTCATAGTGTGGCCTTTTTAGTTAAAGGTACATGTAGTAGTTTGGAGATAATTTAAAAGGTTTTATACATTGAAGGAATCATGACATGGATATTTTTATTATTTTAAAATGTTCCTTGAGGTTCACTTATAATGCTACTAAAGGTTTTTGCACAAAGTTTTTAAGGGGCACTCTTTTAAGGCTTGTCAATAAACAGCCACTGCTATGACTGGCTAATGTCATTGCATAGGAAATAGTATCAACGGCCACTTGCCACCTGCTTCATCTTTCAACAAATGTTTCTTTGCAAACTCTCCATTCACTGTGCCTCGGAAAACAGACAGCTATGTGACTGAACACCAGTGGGTGGGGCCTGTGGTGCAATGATGTAATGAAGGCAGTCATAAGCAAATGTATTTGCCCATGTGATATCACAAATCCCACAATATTCAAACAAGCGGTTTTTGGAGCTTGGTTAAATAAATGCTTTGTTTATAATGCCAATGACTTTTTAAGCTATGAGGCAAATGTTATTACTCATGTCATGACCACTTAAAGACATATATTGTGTTTTAGACAATGGAACACACTTACTATCATACTTTACCAGTGGAGACAATGGGAGAATCAGTACAGCTGAAGAAGCAGAAAAGGTCTAAGGCCAGAAGACAGAATGACTGACAAAAACAATAATGAGAGTAAACATCGCTACAACATATACAAGGTAGAAAGATTTGATGAAAATCCTGAGCAGTGATGCCAAAGTTGCTTCTTTTTTGTTGGACAGGTAAAGCAATTAATTATTGTGTAAAACGCAATCTAAATCTCACTAATCCCAGTGTAATTTACATAAAACTCAGAGACGACCATGCTGGTCTGGTAAATTAATGGCAGTGCAGTGTCTAATTGTGGTATCACTACAGTGATGCTAATGCCAGCTAAATAACTACTGAATGCATCTTTCAATTAATATAATTATGACTGAAAGTTATTGAATGCTTATTTTTGCTTATAAATACACTGTTTGCTTATTATTGTCATTGTTCTGTTTTAGCTCCAGTGCCTTTTACTAAAATGTATGACGCATCCATCCTACACAAAGGCTCACACCCATAAAACACACGCCATCATATAGTACTTCTAATCCATTAATGCTCAAGCTTAACAGTCAGATAAAATTTCTGGTACAAAAGCGTTTTGTGTCGCAGGAGGCTCAGAGTAGATCCTATGTCCTGATATTATATCAGAATCACTAAGACAGATGTTTCTGTCACCCTCTGTTCTTTGGCACACACACCCGGACAACTGACCCAGTAGAGAATGAATGGACAGTAATGCAGTGTCCTGACTCATCGGTATGTATTTAGTACTCACAAACTCCTTTAAGCCTACCAGAATTTTGCCAAGTAGGACATGGTATTGAATAGAAATCCTTATTGGTCCTAGAACAACGTTGCTATCAACCAATTATTAGAACATCCTGCTTGGCAAAATCACATGTACCATCTTTTGAGGTAATTTGTCTACTCTCTATTATGATGCAGCACAGGTGATTGCTTAATTTTTTATAGCCTATAATAAAGTTGTTCAAATGGTTCCAGATGTAATACCTGATTTTAGCAGCCAAAGGCAATGCAATAATGCAGCTACTGGGTGTTTATATTAGCAGACCTTTGAGCTTCTGTGTGCCACACCTGGGGATGTAACGACATGTTTCTCTGGTGGAGTGTGACATCTATACAACCCTATGTGTGTGCTTACTCTGGGGGAGGTGTGACGGTCCCTACTGTGGCAACCCTTGCTAGAAGAGCTGAGTAAAGACTGCTGCACCCTCAATAAAACTCACACTGCAGGGTGGTAGGAAACAGCTCTCTGTGTCTCATTAAATGTTTCATGTGCTTATTTTAATGAGTGTCTATCGGTTTTCCTCAGCCTGGATCTGTTTGGTAAAAAAAGTGTTGTACGTTTCTGTGTGTGGCTGTCGGGTGTTATAGTCTTTGCAGATAATAACTAGCACTTACAGCATGCCATTCGAAAGTTTGGATGTTTTAAAATGTTTTTAAAAAAAGTTTTATGCTCATCCAAGCTAAAAAAAAAAACACAATATATAAAATATAAAAATTTTAAATAACTGTTTTCTATTTTAATATATTTTAAAATGTAATTTTTGTGTGCGGTTTTCAGCTGCCATTTCTCCAGAGAACTTCAGAAATCATTCTTATAGGGTAATTTGGTGCTCAAGAACACTATCAATGCTGAAAACAGATAGAAATCATTCTAAATATCTATACTGACACTTTTAATCAATTTAATGCATCCTTGCTTAAAGAAAAAAAATTCTTACTCACCCCTTACTGAACTTTTGAATAGTAGTGTACATCTCTCAAAGAAACACATTTAATTACCTGCTCTCATTGGCCAGTGACTGACTCAGCTCATGAATATGTGATTGATGGAGGTGCTGTGGGTCAGCTGGAGGGGACAGAGTCTAGAGCTGCTGAGCTCTGCACTGATCAGAAAGTATTGATCTGAGAGAAAGATGGGACATGATGACAGTTCAAGGAATATGTGTGTATTGATCTGTTCTTAGATATTGAGTTAGTTCTGAATGTCGACCCTTTGCTTTTAGTTTGTTTGATGCACTCTCTGGCATACCATTCCTTCCTTTTTTTTACCACCATTCATTCTTTAGTCATGCACTCACTACTCATAGGGAAAGGGAATTTTTCAAAGCCCATCAGACTTTGCCATCTTCGTCCCTCCCGTTTCTACTATAGACAGCAATCAATCATACTTCAATTCATGCACTGTGTTGGTGAGAAGTGTGCTATCACTAAGTCTAGGTAAAAATGCATATTATGCCTGTGCTTCCTGCACTGCTTTTTTTAGTGGTGCTGCTTGCTGCTGCTGAATCTACATTCTTACAGCAATTAATGTTTTACCCAGGTTCACAGTCTGAATTGAATGTGTTGAGATAAAAAAAAATTTAAAATATGCAAGAAAACATGTTTTTCTGTTTTAAGATGTAAGTCATCGCAGACTGAACTTCATGAACAAATAATGCAAATAAACACATGTATACATAATAAACAACTTCTTTAATAAAACGTAGTTTCGGTTATTGTTTATGATTGGCTAAGCCATGTTTGAAGCCGTTGTAAAATGCTATAAACACACATTTGACTTCATTACATCAGTATAGAGTGGTGCAGGTACTAATTTGCCGATGGTTTCATTGAGCTTTTCCTATGGGGTTTTATAATGGGGTTTTTCAATTTATGAGTATAATGAAGCCTGTGGTAAACATAAATTAATGATACTTTGATGTTTAGAAATTAACGATACTTTGAGAGTGAATTAGTCTTCTGGTTTCTGATGTTGTACCTGCACCACTGTGTGTTGCTTGGCAACCATTGTATTAAACATTGCCGAAGAACTACAACGCTTGGTAGTAATGTAAATCGATAATCAGATGATCTGACATTTTTGCCTGGTGGATATTAAAAAATACCATAGTCTAACACTGAAGGAGGGACCACCTAGATCACCCTGGTAACCATATCGCAACACTAACAACAACACAGAACACATTAGCACCCACATAATAATGCTGCGATAAGTATAACTCACATTTTATTTTGAAATTGTATACTTCCAGACTAAATTTTATCTCTCTCTCTCTCTCTCTCTCTCTCTCTCTCTCTCTCTCTCTCTCTCTCTCTCTCTCTCTCTCTTGCACTTGTTTTATCTCTCTCTCTCTCTCTCTCTCTCTCTCTCTCTCTCTCTCTCTCTCTCTCTCTCTCTCTCTCTCTTGCACTTGCTGTATCATTTGTTTTTTCTCTCATTCTGCTTGTTTGAGGCTGGTTGGCGGTGTTGTTTTCGGGGTCTGCTCCAAGCATGACTGTGCCAGCAAGGAAACCCATTCAAACCCTAAATGGCAGGATGCAGCCTTGAGAGAACAAAGGAAGACTGGAGTTCTCCCTACACACACATACACACAAACATGACCCTCCCCGTTTCAATCAGAAAAAGGCCTGACTAATGTAAATCACTGATTGCGCTGTGAAGGTGGAGGATGTAAAACCCATGCCTTGTTAGGTCCCTTCTCGCTTTCATCCCTTTCTTTATTGCTGGCCTGTAATTGGCCACTGGAGGTGGTAATTAAAACAGGATGGCTTGTGAAATACTGAGGAAGGTTAAGTTGTCAAATGGAGGTTTTTCCCGACTGGTCTCGTTGCAGGTTGCCTGTTTATGCTGATCTAGGTTCAGCCCTTCTGACCCTGAGCCCAAGATCTGATCAGTGTGCAAAGAAAACCACTAAAGACGCCCTGGTGTGGCCATATGGGGAGAAGTGGATGCTGGGAAGTCCAGACACAGCCTGAGCTTCTGTGCGGTGGCTGTCATATAAAATGGAAATAGGAAAAAGATGCAGAATGATTTTTTTGCATATGTTTCGGATGGCTGTGCAACAGATGCCATCCCCTCCCTTTCTTTCTCGCTCTCATCAAACTAAAATGTGAGCAGAAACAAACCTCAGACAAAGAAATGTTTTTGATTCATGTCTCTCTGGAGAGATTCTTTCACAAATTGAAATGATTTGGAATGAAGCCAAGTGGGGCAAGGAAAGAGTGTTGCAG